AACGCAGAGAGAGTTCTTCTTCCGGCCGGGGTCAGACCCAGCTTCCCAAGAACGCGTGAGAGACTTCTTTTCAAGCTCTACCGGTAACACTGCCGTCCGATCCCATAAGTACAGAGCTGCGAAAGGAGAACGCTCCGATTCACTGACTTGAAGTAGTTTTGTTTCGAGTGCCCCCAGAGCGCGAAAGGAAGTTTTCTGAGCCCCAGCCGCGTCTATATCTATCGCACATTTCTGCGACAGAATTCTCCTTCAATCTTCATTAAATTGAGCGGCTTCTAACTGCAGCCATTGAGCTTAAGGCCGATAAAGCGAGAGGAATGATGAAGCGCTGCAAGCCTTATCATGCTGTAATAAACAGCTGGCCGAGCATCTGGGCTTGGAAGTGAGAACCATTCGTGCTGGTGACTATGTGATGGGAATACCTGAGCGTAGAAAATGGTTCTGGCTTAATAAATCTAGCCAACTTGGTTGTGGCAGGTCAAAGTTTTGTAGGAGTTGAGCTTTCCGATCGCACCTAGAAAAGTAGTCCACCTGCAACCAAAATTACTGATGACCGAATTTGAGTGCTATTGGCGTGATCTTGGTCCAAATGATGTCTTGAATACCGCCACGAGCTGAGAAAAGGCCAAGAGGAATTGTTGGGTGGGTTCAAAACAGGCAGGCAAGTGATTCTTTGTTATCGTGGTGACTGGCAGGTGCTTTACAATGCGAACATAAATTGACGCAGTCACCTGGTCCATCTGGCACCCAAAAAGTAGCCTTCGCTCATAATCTTTCTGGCCAAACTCATGCCACTCAAATGTAGTACGCGACAGACTCGCCTCATGAGATCTTGCTTGCAGTTATCGTTCTTTCTCCTTCCCTGCTCTTGGCCCTTTAGCAAATCTCTAGAAAGCATGTCCATCGCCAGGGCTCTCCTATGATAGAGCATTCCATCCCAGGCTCTCCTATATAGTTCACCATCGGCTAGGACATAATTCAAAGCCATTTTTCTTAGAACCGATCGGTCTTCTTTTGTGGCATCATTAGAAAAGGTTCCATCCTTCATGTACCGTAAAATATCCGTAAACCAATGTTCTTCCTCTAACTCAACCTAGTTCACAAAATGTTCTTCATAGTATGGGATATTTGCTGCGGTAATGATAAATCGCTTCTTTGGGACCTTACTCAAATCCTGCCATGCTGATGCTAGGTTTGCCAAAGCATCAGGAATTCTGTTATGAGTTCTTCCTATGTGAGTAAAAGTGATCTTGTCAAAGAGTACGGCTTTCTTTAACAGGTACTCCACATAGGGCTTCAGCCTATCTTCCTCAACTTTCCATCTTTCAAGCCTATCTTCCTCAACTGTTGCCAACAGTCTTTCATTGGCATGTTCAAATAACCAAAGTGAATCTCCATATCACCTTTGTCAGGCCTCCTTAGGGCCTGCTGGCAAAGAAGGAAGACGTCAATTTTCCCATGATACATGCTTCATATTCAGGCCGATATTGTTAGTGGACTGGGGAACAACAAGGACCTTTTGCACATTGTTGTCAACTCGGCCATTGGGGTGCTTCTGTCTATCAGCAATACCAACTCCAGCTCCATTTTAATTGGCGTAATCGCATTAAAAGGTAACAGTTTTCCAGAGCCTTGTTTCGAACGGGCATGGCAAGTGTTACTCTGGATAATTCCACCAGGCTTCCCATGGTTCATGCATCTGGCAATGGGATGTGGCTCAGGGCCAGGAACTCTGGCAGACAACCGTGACGCTTCTGAAACCGTGGCTGTCTTGCGTTGACGAACTCCGCAATCTACACTTAGACATCTGAGAGTTAACCATTTGGACAGCGTCCTTTCTAGAGTAGCGTGTCTGTCATGAAGATGACTTCCATAGGGATCAATTTTAGAAAGCAAAAAGATGAACACCTGAGAAGGAATCAAAGTAAGGCCTCAATTTTCTTGATCGACCACAGCAATTGCATGCATGTCTTTTCTATCAATTATGACTTTTGCCTCAAATAGGCAATAGGCAGTAATTTCTTGCTGATATAATAAATGGCCTTTTCTACTCCAGCAGTGTCTGGCTGTACCAACATAGCTCCCACTCCTGCATCCTCTATAGACAAGTACAGAATCAAAGGTTCCCCCAGTCTAGGAGAGTTCAACACTAGTGAATTCATTAAGTACTTCTTTATATGATCAAAGGCCTTCTGACAATCCTCATTCCATCTGACGGGCTGGTTCTTTCTAAGCAACTTGAAGATCGGAGCACAAGTGATAGATAATCTAGAAATGAATCTGCTGATATACTGGATCTTCCCCAAGAAGCTTCTCACCTGACATATATTGGATCTTCCCTAAGAAGCTTCTCACCTGACGTTCTGTTTTAGGCGGTTCCATATCTTGAATGGCTTTTATTTTATTTGGGTTAACCTCAATCCCATTAGGTCCTACAATAAAACCTAACAACTTCCCCTTCATGACTCCAAATACGCACTTTTTGGGATTGAGTCTTAAATTGTACTGCTTGACCCGCGCGAAGAACTTTTCCAACATCTTCGTATGTTCTTCTTGTGTTTTTGTTGTGTTTTTGTCCAATGCAATCACCATATCATCCGAATATACCTCCAAACCCTTATGGATCATCATCAATGAAGATAAGGTTGTAGCCAAATTCTTCTGATATGTTGCCCGCAGCATTCTTCAACCGCAAAGCGGCATCACCCGCTAAATAAACAGAAGGTCTCCCGAGGAAGTCAGTGTAGTGAAGGCAGTCTTATCGGCCTTATCACAAACTAAAGCCCATCAGGATTTGGTTGTACCCCCAGAGAATCTGTCATAAGATGGAATAAACGATCCCCATTCCTGCAGCACGTATCGATCAAACATCTAATATTGTGGAAGTGGGGAAGGTCATCTTTGGGCGAGGTTTGTTTAGATCCCTGTAGTCAACACAAGACGCCTTAGTCTCCCCATGCCTTTTTAAGTACAGGGGACTACGTTGTGCTAACCAACTGCAGGGTAGGTGTGAATACTTCCAGGAAAACCGTGTGATCTGAGCTGGCTTCCTGGACCCTCAGCCTTGATCTTGTCTTGGCCACTTCCTGGTCTAGACCTGTTCCTTTTTTTGCTTTACTGGGCTTAATGTTCGGATGCGGTAGGGGATGAAATGTTTCTGGGCAATTGACCTGTCGGATCCTGGGCATGTCAGGATAGACTCAAGCAAAGGACGTCTGAATTCCTTTTGATACATTCTTTGGAGATCCTGTCTTGAGTTCAAGGCTTAAAGTCTGAATCCGATTTCGAATTATTTTGAATCTTCGGAGCGGTGCTTAGGTTAAAATCAAAATGATGCAAATGGCCAATTTATGTCAAATATGCGGTGTGGTATATCAATGCCAATGAAGCATGACAATCAGGAAAACAAGAAGAAACAAGTAATCAAAATTATTTCCATTGAAATTGAAATAATAAAAGGGAATCCATCCAAAAATCAAAATTCATTTCCATTGATTGAAATAATAAAGGGAATCCATCCAAATCGTTCTCAAAACAATAATCAAAAAAACAAAAGACAGGATTAATAGCCTGTTCAATTATGGCTTGAACCACTTCATCAGCATCTGGAGCATCCTCTGTTTCTGGGACAGATTTCTCTTTCTTTTCTTCATGCTCTGTCATCTTCATCACCTTCCTCTCAGCTGCCTCTGCATCTTCCGCCGCTAGTATTGAGTGGAGGATCCTTGCCTTGGACTTCTGCTCTTGCAGACTTCTGCTCTTGCACCATCCTTGAAGCTTCATCCCCAATCCCAAGAAAGTCTTCAAATTCAGGTATCTTCTGTGACCATTCTGTGCCACTGCCCGCTTGGACCATGCCTATCATGAATTGTGTGCCCTCTACCGACTGCTCAAAGGAAGGCTCTGGAGACTTAATGAGTTGTTCCTCAAAGTCTGTCATGAAGATCTCCAAATCGGGGTATATCTTTCCTCTGCTCTGAAATTCCCTAAAAGCCTCTAGGGTGAAGAAAATCCTGTTCAGTCCCGGCTCTTTTATCGGAGACTAGACTTCATACTTCTCTTTCTTTCTATTCTCTGAGTACCCCTCCGCATCGATCTTGTTGGACCATGTGAAGATGGCACAGGCTCAAAGCCTTCTTGTAAATATCGGCCTAGCCCCTTACCGTATTTTTCCATTGCATCTTCTTCATCATTTTACGAGGAAAGGGCTCATTCTATTATAAACCCACCGTTTGACTTTGGTGATTTACACATTATTAATCACAGCCACCTGAAAACCAGATTTAAAGGACAGCCGCCTCTAAACCTTTCCACAGCAGCCACATTCAGATCTTCCACTTGCGGCTCTCTTCGTGATCGCTCATCTCTCCCTACTATCAGCACTTACCTTGCTTTTCTGTGGCACATGTGGAAGTTGCACCTAAAGATATAGCACATAGCGGACATTCGTCTCACCAGCGCAGCTCGTCCATAGTATAGGAGTCTCGATGGCTATCTCTCGCGACATCACTGTTCTATCACTCCTTGTCGAAATCTTTTGGCCACTGTGATATCAGGTCTCCTTAGCCAGCTATGCATTGGTTGCTATATCATGGGCTTTAAAAACCATGTTAGATGCTCGATTTTCGACTCTTGCCAATCTTTAATTTGGGACAACCTTCCAGTGGAATACGCACAATTGCGACCATTATCCGACGTGACATTTGCTAGTTGTTTCTGCTCCATCTACAGCCAACCCTGAACTTTTATAGAAGGCTTTGACAGTGATTCCTACCTTCGGGGGGAAGATTGACATCTCAAGAACAGTGATCCTACCAGATCCGCATTGCAGCCACATTAACTTTTCATATCACGCTTTGATACATCGCACCTGGAACTATAACGAAAACGTACATGGCTTTTCTAACCTCACCTTCTCTATGCTTTCTTTTGAGCCTATTCATAAAATCCATTAGTGACAGTCAGCCTTGCGTCACTCTTCAGCTGACCTCCGACATATACTGACACTGCTGTAACGTCGCTCTGTACAACTGTTTTGACTATCTTATCACACCATCAGTAGCCTTCTCTTTGTGCTTCCCCACTTCATCTTCTTCTCTTCATTCCTTAGCAATGCATTTCGCTGCGTCCACCCTCTATATAAATACCACCTCCCACCTCCAGCTCTCTATAAAGTATGCCTGTGGCCTTTGGACTCTCGCTCTCGTCGCGCGCTCCCGCCTCCTCATACTACGCGAGGATACTCCGCGCTCTCACTGCCTACCATAGCCAGTGCTTATACATCCGTGGTGGTAACTCGACTCCTCCCACACCTTATTCTACCTTGATCAGCCAAAACTTTTGAATTCAAGCTGGAATCTGCTCATCCTCAATTATCTGGTTACTTCTCCACCTGGACTGTGAATACTCTTCTCCAATTTTCAATTTTCACCGGCTTTCCTTCTTACTTCCTCCTCGCTTGCTTGCAAATCATCGCCAGATGTTCAACATGGCACACATTTTCTCCTCCCATTCAGGCCTCTGCCAATACCAATTCTTCTGCAAACCATTTCCATATGCGTAACCTTATCCACCTACTGAAAGGCTTATTGAGGTGGACTAATTATTACTGGTATTGTGGTAAGGGATTATATCTTCGTGCTCGACTTGTTGCCGCTCAGAAAGGAGCTTTAGGTTAAATCGTTCCATTGTCTATTAGATTCTGTAATAATCGTGCTGTAAGCTTGAAGCAGTCATCAGTAGAGTGGCCCTTTACACTGGTCGATACTCGCGAGTCTCGATCGAAAAAATTACCCTGAAGTAGGGCTTAGATGGATAACTGTAACTTGGACAGCACGGCCATTCTTGATGCAGGGGATTCTCGATGGACCTGTGCTTAAAGGTCTGCCCAGATCCGTGGAACTCCCTTCTCACTTTCCTCATTAAACAGCTCCAAAACCGTGTTTGCTACTCCACGATGGTTGTAGCAACATTGCTACTTTGATCATTGTAGGAGGACTGGTAGTTACCACCTCGGCTTTTTTTCTTTTCTTCTTTGTACAGCTCTCAATATTAACCCAGGCCCTTTACCACTAGAGAACAGTCAGTGAGAGGTTGGGCCAGCATCCTCTCCTTGAAGTAAGGCAGCCAAGCTTCGACTAAAAAATCCGTAATTCATCTCTTGGTCCTTTGGCTGTCTGGACCATGGAACAACTTTGTCATCCATCTTCCGTAATAATCAGAGAGCTTTTCATCCTTTCTCTTGCCTCAAGCTCTCAAATCACGAAGGCGGAATCATCATTGTCATCTGTTTTGAAGTGCTGAGAAAAGCAGTTCTGTAGGCTTGACCCAATTCTTCGTACTGCCATCTCCAACCATTCTACCATCTTCGGTAGCTCTTATTGCCAGTGTTTTGGATGGAAATTGCCCGATAAGACATCTTCCTCATCATATCGGGTTCAATTGGGCAACCCGATAAACTCAACAGATGGGACCGTGGGGTCATTGTCTCCTTCAAATTAAGGTGTTGCTTGAAGGTCTTGGCGAAGTAGAGGTTGTGGGCTTCAGGGACAATATTCAGCCACATGGAAAATTTGGTGACAGGTCCCTTTTTTCGAAACAGCATATTCCTCTCACTGATCTTTTAGTTTGCAACTGCTTATTAGATCATTCTTCAACTGGAGCAGCATTACCTTAGCAGGAGGCTTTGCGTTTACCCGAGGTGGGTTTGAATCTCCCTGTTTCCCTTTCAACTATAGGCTGATTACTTGAAGCAGGAGGTGAACCTTGATTCTATGCCCTTCTTGGGCAAAGCATGTTAATAAAGCGGCTATTAGCTGAAGTTAATACCCTTTAGCTGGGCCGAGGAAAGCCAATATAATTCCATTACCCGGTCAGCCATTCTCAACCAGATCTGATCAGGAAACAAATCGACGAAACTTGAATGAACCACAGGGACTAACGGAGCAGGCTCGGATTGGGGACCTTGGACAAACGTTGGGACCGGGCTCGATGCAGGCTCTCAAAGTTGATCCCGGGATGTGATCAATTCTGACTGAAGGTAAAAAGACTTGAGTGGAAAGTAGGCTCTGCATTATACATGAAGAATAGAAGCACATAGGATGAGGAATGCAATTCTAATGTGCTACTACCGGTATGGAAATAAGATCTCGGTTTCAATGACTGGACCCAAAATTCAGTATGAATAACATGGAAATTATTTTATTTTCGTATTCAAACATTTCTGCATTATCTGTCATCGACCGTCCCTTTGGATTTTTACGTTGGCGCGGGGGGCGGGGCGGCCTATTTTCTCTCAAAATCCCTAATTTTGCCTTGAATGAAAGAATTTCAAGCGGGATATTTTTGTTATCCTTTTTTTATTTTTGTTATCCTTACTTTTTACTTGAAAAATTGTCCCAGTAGATTCTTATTTTGATGTAAATTTTGTATCTCAGCTTACTTTCAAATAATGCCGAAAATGTGAAAAATACAAAGAATCGCAACCCCCTTATAACTCCCCTTTTCTTTTGGGTATTTAAATTCCTATAAAAACGATTGCACTTATGGCATTCAAAACGAATTTGAGGTCCAGTCTCCAAAATCAAGGTCAAACGTCCCATTACCGAATAGCCCTTATAAATGCATGGCTGAAACAAAAAGTATTAGTGGTGCATGAATGTCACAGGCCAGATGAGCCAATT